TCAAAGGAACTTTAAATTTAGGACTTTTGTTTAAATTAGATAAAAGAGGAATTATGTTGAAAGGGTTTACTGATTCTGATTTTGCTGGGGATAGGGACAATAGAAAGTCTACATCTGCTTATTTCTTTACTCTGTGTGATACTGCTATAAGCTGGAAATCCCAAGTACAAAAAGTTGTTGCTCTGTCTTCAACTGAAGCAGAATATATTGCTGCTTCAGATGCCATTAAAGAAGGAATATGGCTTAGTAGATTGTTGAATGAACGTGCTTTTGTTGATGAAAATGCAATTCTGTATTCTGATAATCAAAGTGCCATACACTTGAGTAAAAATCCCATGTTTCATGATAGAACTAAACATGTAGACATTATATATCATTTTATTAGAGATGTCACATCAAAAGGAATTATGAAGATTGGTAAGATTCCTACTTAGATTAATCCTTCAGATATGGGAACAAAGATAATACATTTAAATAAGTTTCTTAACTGTTTGAAGTTATTATTTATTGATACTTTGTAATGCTAAACAGGTACTTGGAGCAAATGAAATAAATGTGATAGAGTACTCCTGGGTGCACTGTATAAAGCCCAATTTCTGGTAGNATTCCTACTCAAGTTAATCTTTCAGATATGGGAACTAAAATAATACATTTAAACAGGTTTCTTAACTGTTTGAAGTTGTTATCTATTGATACTTTGTAATGTTGGACAGGGACTTGGAGCAAATGAAAATTAAGTGATATTTTTGCTCTTCGCTGCACTTGTTAAGCCCAATTTCTGGTAGCAAGGTGGAGATTGTTGAGGCTCGAACGCAGATCTGTGATGTGTGCTCCCAAAATTGGCTGAAATCGTGTTTACAAAATGCGACTCTTTTAGTAATGCAACTTATCTTCTGATGGTGACACGTGGTCTTTTGCTGGCCCTTGGATCTGTGGTTTGTTGGTGTGTGATATATATACCATTTTGGAGATATTTTCTCATTCGGCTTCTAACTTTTGAACTGCTCTCGTTTCTTCTAGGTTCTTCAGAGTCTTTCCCTCTTCTTGTAACTAGGGTTTGAGATCTTCGTTTTCTTCATCCCTTATGATGAACCTGTAAACTGAGATGTATTAGTGGTTAAGCCTCTGTAATC